TGTTTCTTCTTAGTTTTTTCTTATCAGTTGTGTACATTAGGGTTTAATCTTACATCTAATGTTGTTAAATGAATGTTTATTGCATTATTTCAGTATCATGTGTGTCACCGTGATGGGGTTTAATGTTAGTGTGAATGACACTGTGTGCATCTTCTATATATAAGTATTGCCCTCCTCAGCTCATAGAAAAGCTGTTTATGATAAGTTTTGGTTCATCATGTGACTTTCTCATCACCACCAGTTTTTGGTGGTTATTAGTGCATTACAATGGTTCAAAACAGATATTAGTACTTCAATGTGTTGGTTTATTAACATTACATCAGTTAATGAAATACGGTATTTTATTGTGAATTTAAGTCAAGTCTGTAAAACCTAAAATGTTGCTACCATATTTTTTACGGTGAAGTTCTGGCAACCACAGCTGCCGGTATTTTACCGTAAATGTCACAGATTTTTTTTTACAGTGAATCTAAATATTAACACACAAAACAAAAATCAAACAAATCTTTTTTTATTTATTTTGTATGTTAATATTTAGATTATTTTGAGAGGATTTAAGACTTAAGAGCCTTCATTTTCTCTCCATTTATTCTCAATGCTGTCAAGGAGAATCAATTGAGATATATGTAAAAAAGATTTGTTTTTGATTTATGTTGATTGTTTCTCGTTGACAGCATTGAGATTAAATGGAGAGCACTCTTAAATCTTAAATGTTTGTTTTAAGAAAAATAAATCTCACAGTGCGTCTCCTCCAGAGTTTTAGAAAAGATCTCAAACTGTGTTCAAAGATAAAGATCTCAGGATGAACTCAATCGGTAAAAGTCCCTAAACCGGAGCTGACATGAATCATAGGTTATCTGCCAGTTACACACACCCTAATAAGTTAGGAGAACTCATAAAACTGACTTACACTGACTTAAAAGAGCAAACAAACTCTAGCGATTAAGTTAGCAGAACTTCAGATTTAGATTTTCACGCACACGTGCACGTTAATCGCACTTAACTTGAAAAACTGAGCAAGCTAACTCAATCATCTTGATTGGAAAGCAGACTGGAAAGAGTTCGTGTAAATGCTGAGGATCTGCATGCTTGTCTGCGTGTGGCACACCTGCGGCGAGCACATGGAAAGCATGAACATGTCCACACACTGCCATGGACTGTGTAACTCCAAACATGTCAGAGTCGTCCATTACCACCCTAAAGATCCGCCAGACCTCAACCAGGTCACGCTAAGCCGAGAGAATCACGTTAAACGTCTGGATGTGCACACAGGAGCCAGTGTGCTGTGGCTAATCATGTTAGAAGAGCTGGATTCGTGACACACAGCATTAGTCACATGACATCTCTGAGTCTCAAGGATTTAAGTCAAACTCAGCTGATATCATAATATGTTTTTGTAAATATTTGCCACAGTTCATCATTATGATGTAATCTGAATCTAAATGACCTAATGACTTGTTTAAGCAATAGTTCAGCCTCACTCTACAGTACATGCAGCTCTTTGACAGTTTATAGTCACTAAAAACACCATAAAAGTCAAATATGTGTGTCTGTTCCTCTCATAAAGGTATCATATGACTTTGGAAGACTTGGGATATTGTGCCAGTGTATCATTGCAATATTATTATAGTTTTTATCAATAGTTTGAATCAGTTTTTATTTATTTTCCATTTCCGTTTATATATATATATATATATACAGTGGGTACGGAAAGTATTCAGACCCCCTTCAATTTTTCACTCTTTGTTATATTGCAGCCATTTGCTAAAATCA